AAGGACTTTGGTAATGTCTGTTTTTTTTCAGTGCCTTATGTGTGTGGGTGTGTATTCTGGGGTGAGGGTGTGGCTTTAAGCAGTGTGCGCTGTGATGGGGAATTCAGGCAGTCTTGATATTCCAATTTGGAGGTTGCACTATATAAAGACTGATTAGGAGGCTCCCTCCAATTGAAGGCAACAGGACACAGATCTTTCCTTTTCAAAATAAGAGGTCAGCCTTTTAGTGTGATTAACCCCTGGGGGTGAGAGGGAGGTGGTGCAGTACTTTAAATTCTTACTACAGTGTGAAGAGCTGATAGATACCCTTTTCTATCAACAGATATTGAAGGAGGAAAAGAGGCAGAGGATTCTGGGTATAGGAACAGTTGCAGGGGAGGGCGTGGAATGATTTGAAAGAACATGGGGAGGTGCCAGTGACAATAAAGACAAACTCCATTCCCACTAAATTTGGTTGAGAACTGGCCTCTTCCTCCCAGTGTAACAATGGGGTGGATGGTTGTGAAGACAGACTCTGAATCAGGCCCTGGAATTTGAATTCCACTGTGAATGTGTCCTCACCGTGTGGCCCTTCTAGGCTTTGGTCTTCCCAATTATACAGTGAGGATAATGATGGCCTCTGACTCTCCAGGTAGTTGTGAGGATGCAGAAAGAATATGTGTGGAACAGCAGAGTGGTGCTGAGCGGGGCAGGCTCGCAGTGAACACTGAAGATGGGGCACAAGGGGTGGGAGTGAAAATGCCTGGAATTGAGCCTGGCTGTTTCCCCTAGCTCTGTGGCCTTATTCAGGACACTTGACCACCTTCAGCATCAAGGCCTCCACTGTGCAATGGGGGCACTTGTTCACAGATTACTGAGTGAAGTGATGGCATGCGCTATAGCCCTCGAAGAATGCCTTGTTCTCTGGTCCCTGGTTCCCTGACAGCACACCCAACAGGGGCACCCATGGGACTTCTAGGTGCAGACATCTGTTTTCATTGATCAGTTCACTGGTACTGTCAGGCTCTGGTTCAACAGGTGACCTGGGTAATGGAGAGTAGCATTTATTTATAAAGGAAAAATGAATTGATTGCCACCAGGTGTAGCAAGTTACAACCCAACAGAACACAAATTCAAGTAGTAAGTATATCAGTATCTGCACTGCATTATACAAAGTGCTTTCACGTACAACTCAATCGATCCTTTGGGCACTCTGGTGAGGCAGTTGGTTATATCGAAATTTCACTCATGAGAGTGAAGTTTGGAGCTATGACATGACATACCCTGAGAAACAATCTTTACGTTAGTGCCATGGCCGGGGCTCAAGGCTTCAGCTTTGGAGACCACTGCTGTCTTGTGGAAGCTTTCCACCCACCCCCCGCTGCCACCTTCTACTTCCACAATCCTGCGTGCAATTTACTGGAAGTGGAAAGTGCTTTGGAGTTTTCCTTGTTATTGTGCCAGAAAATTAAGGCGTCTCCAGTAACTGAGAGTGTCACTCCTCAGACATCACTTTGGGGCCAGCTATGCTCTGGATATTAGGTATTAATGCCGGCTAATGGGATATTCCACTTCAAGGATTTTACAGGGCTGCTGGGAGAAGAGAACAGAAGATTCAGAAAAGCTGTAGGGTCAACTGTGAGTTGCATAGGGGAGCTGGGAGATGCGCAAACAGCTGTGGAGGAGGGAAGCCCTCCCCCATGGGGAAGCAGCCCTTGTGTTCCCTCCTCCCTCCCTCCCATCCTGAGCACCTGCTGTGTGGGTGTGAGGATGAGGTGACCAGGCCAGGTCTGGAAGGCAAAGATGGGGAGAGTGGCTTCTGGTCTGAAGGAGCTCACAAGGTAGATGGGGTGAGAGACGCAGAGATTATTAAATACAGCAGGCCTCTTGTTTGCCCATCTTAGTGGACTGACGAGGATTGTAGAGACATGAATGTCCCCTTAGCATATCCCTTCCTGTTTGGTAAAAGCCTCCTTCAGGTCACTTGTCCCATAGAAGTTAGGACTGACTTCTAATACTAGCCCCCAACAAACAAATACGCCCCCAAACAACCAATCACACAAAACATTTGGAGGCCATTTTTATCTAATTTGAAGATACAGCACCTTTGGCTATGAGGCTTCACTTTCCTGCCATCAGCAATGAGTGATGGCTGAGAATATGAGATTTTACTTCGCCTTGGTGCCTGGGTTGATGTGTGTTCTCCAGAGAGAAATCCACACAGGAAGCTGGATCTCCCAAATTTCCAATGAGCATCCCTGAGTGTATTTGACTATTTGCCGTTGCTTGGGTCAACATTTTTATTTCTCAGAAAAACATCTTAGAAAGCTCTGGGACTGCATATGACTAGTTTTTGAGAAATCTTAAAGTGCAAATGAATGGAAAACAGGCAGAATAAATGTCCCCTAATGCCACACAGATGTAAAGTTTGATAGAAGAGAAAAGCCTTGGCAGAAATACTACTAGGTTCATCCTGGATTCAGATGGCTTAATGTTCAGTGATTGTGAGGCTTTGCCTGATGCCTGATGTTCAGTTTGTAGGGGGTGTTTTATGTCAGTGATTGTCATTATCTTGGGATGCCAGGACCTCACTGGAGAAACTTACAATACACCTGTGGTACTCATTGCAACCAGATGCATCCAGATTGGATGGCTGATGAATGCCTAGAAGTAGGATGGGCCATTTAAAAAGGGCCCTATCAGTTATTAGTTACTGTTGTCACAGACTGTGCGTTGCCATGTGCTTAGTGCTATGCTTTGTGTCTCAGTTTAGAGTTTGGATTCTCCCAGAATCAACCATGAGACAAAGATTCAGGAGCATCATTTAAATAGGAAAGACAAGGAATATGAACAGAATCTCAGGGGAAGTAGCAGAGAAGAGACAACAGCCAAGAAAGGGTGGAGTTGTAAGCTGTTGTAATTCCCTGAATCAGTGCAAAACACACTTCAGAATGACCCCACCAGCTGAGCCAAGGAACAGGATGTGCACCCAGCAGTGCTGCAGAGGACTTGGCTGACAATTGCAGGGAGAGCAGCAGCTCCCGACCCGTCCATCCTGCCACTGTGCCAAGGGCAGCTGTGGCTTTCTGCAGCTCCCTCAGAGCCCTGGGCATAGACCAGCAGTTCATGTTGCATACGTAATTTCTACTCATCCTCTAAGGCCTGGAGAGTAAATGGCATTTTCTCCATGTACTGAGGGAAAGAGTAAAGCATAGGTACTCAGGGGAATGTCCTTAAGGTTATTCAACTCACCAGTGGCACAACTCAGGTTTCCTTTATGCCATGATCATTTATTCAGATCTGCTTCATGCTGGGAAGTGGGATGTAGAGATCCTGATATCTGCCTCCTGTTAAGGAAGCTCACTGTCTAGGAGAGGGGTGAGGGAAACACATGACCTCCTGGGGCAAGTGCCATTGTATTGGTCCAGCTGACCAGGCCTCATTTCCCCTGGGCCTGGGCACCATCTGCTGGAAAGGAAGGACCCTGAGAGACTCCATCCTTATAGACCTACAGCAACCATTCTGAACCTCCTAACCCACACTGGAGGTCCAGGAGTGTCAGCTGATTCTCTGTAATAGTCATCTTTAATGGCTGGAGGTCTTTCCCCCCACAACTCACTGGTGGATTGAATGAAACAAGTCTCCAAATTCTGCCACACATCCAAGCAGTTATTAGCAAATAGGCCCAGTAACTGTCATGACCTGTCACCTGTTCAGTGGGCCCAGTGAGGCCCCAGCTTGCTATCCTTGGCACCTTGTTGGATAGGTTTATTTAAGACAGAACCAATACTATTCTCACAGCTGAACTCAACTCACCTTCTCTTCAAAATCAAATGAACAAGAATCCTTCAGATCAGTGACCGATCACAGACCCATTGTGAATCAAGCCACAGCTCTAGGGCTGTTGGGTTCAGAAATCTGTCACAATCTCTTCCTGCCAGCATAGGAGTGACACTGCAATACATTTAACCAAGCCATGTGTTTTGAATGCTATGAATCTGACCAATAAATATGTGCCTCTTTCCAGCATTCATTATGCTAATGAACAAAGCCCGGTGGTGGTGGTGGTAGTATTAACTGGGGATAAAGAGTTGATGTATCTGTGACTTCTTCCTGGAGGTGGGGCTCCTGGACAGCAGCTTTTCCCTGCCACATGACCACTCCTAGAATGTGCTTTTCCATTAGGATCCTGCCTAGTTTAATATGAGGGCGTGGATTAAAACTGATTGCCACAGATGCAGCACATGATCTCTGCGGAAGGTTTTTGAATAAAGACCACGTGACACTCAGCAGTGCTGGAGAATCAGGCTCAAAACCCAAGTTCTTGGTGTGTTTGTGCTCCTGCAGCCTTGATCACAGGGGCAGTGACCCAGAATCAGGGGCTGGAGGCCGGTGTGTGTAGCAGGGATATTCTAACTCAGTTATTGTGGAAGAAATGAACTGTTATCATTTATCAGGGAAGAGGAGGAACGATGCTTGCTTGTGTTCTGTGTACCTTCTTACGGTCATCAATATTCTATTAGGGAAATGTTGGGGAATAGAGTCAAGAGTCAGAAGTCTGATTAGGAAAACTAATGTGGGGCTAACCTTATGTGTGGGAGGACGACGTTCTGTGTTTATTCGGTGGGCTCTGAGTATCATTCATTGTTTTGTTTTCCCTCCTTTATTTATCCTTGCATTTACTTAGGCACTGAATGCCAGTTCTGTGCCAAGAATTGTGCCGGGGGAGTGGGAGATATAAAGAGGGGATTTACCATGTATGCAAGAAGCTGGATAATAACCACCAGCCATGAGGAGAGAGAAAGAAGATCTCTGAGTACTGCAAACTCAAAGGAGGGGGGCGTATGACCAGCTGGAGAGCTCAGGGAAGCCTTTCAGCAGGTGGTGATGCAGAACTTGATTCTTAAAGAATGAGTAGAGGTCAATCAAGTGAAAGAGAACAGGGTTCTAGGCAGAGAGAAAAATATGTGCAATGATGCAGAGGCCTGACAGCAAGCATTCAGTGTGACTGGGGAGGTGGGCACTTTAGAGACAGAGTAGAGGATAAGGCTGGTCAGCTGTCATGAGCCAGATTGCAAGGAGCTGAATTCTGACATCTCTGTAGCTACTGCAGGACCAAAGGTAGGTTTGCCTTTCTGGATGAATACCTGGGGGCTGTGTCGCTGAGGGATGGGTGGAGGCCAAGGTCAAGGCTGGGGTGGGGATCAGCTAAAGCCTAATGAAGTTAGGAGATGTGGTAAGGCCTGAGCTGAGAGGGAGGGTTCAGAGGAGAGGAAAGAGTAAAGAACAGTTTAGGAAGTAGTCTGAATGAATGTGCAGACCAACGGAGAGGGAGGAGCCAAGGACGACCTGAGAAGAAGGTGGCCCTATTAACTGATTTAGAAAGCAGGAGGAAGTGATTTTGGATGTAGAGATGGGAATGGGCAACATTCTTTCTTTTACCCCAGTATTCTCTATGTATCCTATGGAGACTTGGTAATCATATGAATTTTGAAGACCACCAAGGGGTTATAAAACTTTCCTTGTGGTGATTGACAAGGGTGCTTCCCAGGACACAGTAATCTCTGTAGATGCTGGTCAAGTGACTTTCTGGACCTACCAAGGTGCTCTACGTACATGTGCTGAGTTTAGTTGAATTCCATTGGATTAAATTGTGTTGAAACAGGCAAAAACCAAGGATGAACTTAACACAGCATATTTCTCAGGCTGGCAGACCCAGGGCTCTGTTGCCTTGAGATGGACAGAGTATATAAGAGTGTCTGCTTCCTATCACAGTTCAGTACATTCTGGGCCAAAAAAACAGTCTTAAACTGATGTGCACCTGCAGGAAGCACCCATTTGTCTCTGGGTGATAAAAGGGGCACCTATCGTTTTTGACATTATGTAAAGCAGGGCACATATATGAACAAAAGTAAGAGTCCCAGAGAGACTCACCACCAGCTCACCCCAAGTCAGTCACTGAGACTGCTGAGAGGTCAATACCTTCCTCTTGGCATTTCCTAAGGAATACTGCTCTTAGGAAGGTGCAGGCATGGGGATGTGACCGAATTTGTATTTGTATTGAGGGACTATAACCGAAAGGCCCCAAATTATTTCATAGTAAACTACACACACATACACACACACACACACACACACACACACGCATGCACGCACACACACACATATATTATTTTTCCACAGGTTATTGGGGTAAGGCGGTGTTTGGTTACATGAGTAAGTTCTTTAGTGGTGATTTGTGAGATTTTGGTGTACCCGTCACCTGAGCAGTATCCACTGCACCCTATTTATAGTCTTTTATCCCTTGCTCCCTCCCACCCTTTCCTCCAAGTCTCCAAAGTCCATTGTATTATTCTTATGCCTTTGCATGCTCATAGCTTGGCTCCCACATATCAGTGAGAACATATGATGTTTGGTTTTTCATCCTGAGTTATTTCACTTAGAATATTAGTCTCCAGTCTCATCCAGGTCACTGCGAATGTATCTCATGGTAAACTACTTAATGTGGTCATTGGCTTCAGCCTTAGACTTGAGACCAATATAATACTCTAGAGGTAAATATTGTTTCTTTAACTTTTACAGGTTAAATAAGAATGGTAGTGCATGACCTAAAGTATTTTAAAAAGCTTATTTGTTTTACATCTGTATTACGTATTACCTATGTGAATATATAGGTTATATCTATAGTTGTATCTCTTTCTATGTACCTACATATAGTCTGTCTGTCTGTCTTTCTTTCTTTCTTTCTTTCTTTCTCTCAAGAATCAGTATATCGATAGATTCGAGTATAAAAAGATTTAAAAAAATAAATTATCTAATGTCCCTCATGACAAGTCTAATGCCCCATAGCCTGACCTTTGAAATAATCAAATGATACTATCATGAGGAGAGAGTGAAAATGGAACACAGATTGAGCAGTGCCCAGTCACTGGATCTGTGTTGTTGCAGTAGGAGTATATGGTAAGGTCTCCTCTGCAGTGTGGAGAACAAGTCCAGGAATTGCAGATCCAAGTCCACATCTCTCAGATGGCATAGGTGTTCACTTGCCCAAATTTTTATAAATAACTTTTACCTGCTAAAGAAGGTTATGACAGAATTTTGAGTGGCTGCTTTAGAGAGACATCCCAGCATTGCAAAGTCTGAGAAGTTCTAGCACCATTGTTTATTCCCATTTCAGAAGTAAAATCAGATGGAAGTGCAATGCGGTATTTTTGGCTCACCTCCATGTCCTAGAACATGGTCAGCCCTGGGGGGGACTTGTCACTTGGATGGCCAAGTTTTCCAGAGAGTTCAGTCCATACATCTTTAAACACAACACCTTTAACATTTTTGCCATGTCAGATGGACAGAATTCTGAAGTACAGCCAGGTACTTCAAAAAGACATTTTGACCAATGAAGGACCACCTATGTAATGCTTATCCCATTAGACTATAATAGAGAATAAGACTATAAGATTAATCTATAAGATTATAATGGATGATAATAGAAACCTAATACATAGCACTTGCTACTGGCATTCCATATTAAGTAGGGGAAATGATTGCTATTCAGTAATGATGCTAGGACATTTTGTTTTTAATATGAAAAAATATGTAAATAAAAGTATAGAGACCATCTTTGCTTATGTAAGTGCACTCTATGATCACACAAAATTGCATTTCTCTGAACGTATTCTGGTTGTTAAGAGATGCACAGCTGTATATTATCCTCTCCTTAGTGTGGTGGTGAGGAAGGAGTATGGAATTTGAAGCCAAACAGACAAGGCTTAAATTCTTGCATTAACCTTTCTTGACTTCAATTCGTTTACCTGGAAATCGGGAACCTTACTTTACAGCACGCCTGTGAGTTTTAAATTAGGTACTAGATGGGGATTTTCATGCAAGCTTGTATAATACACCATTTGTTCTTGTTCTGTTTTGTTTTGTTTTAGGTTTTTAGTAGTCTGACACCATGGTTTTTAGTTTCTGTCTTTAATGATAAGCGAAAAAGAGTGATGACGAAGGGGCTTTACTGGCCAAATTAGAAACAGAAACTAAGAACCCATGACTGTATTCTCTCTC